CGGCGGCGCGAGGACCTGGACGATGGCCGGGGATCGAGGGCTAAGGCTCGTGGGCGTGTGTGGCGCTTCTCAAGCTGGGGCTCCGCGGGGGCTTCTGAGGGCCTCCAGCGGTCCTCGTGCCTCAGGTCTGGAAGTCTTGGAAAACTGACGGCGGGCGTGTGGGGCCCCGGGGCCCTGCCCCGTGTTCTGAATCCTCACTGCTGAACACGAGTCGCCACGGTCTGCTCAGGAATCGCGCTCTCGCTTTCGACCTCCTTGCGGCTTGCTCAGGAACCGCGCCCTCGCCAGGGACTTTCTCCGGATGCACTCAGGCATCGCGCTCTCGCTGGTCAGGAGCCGTGCCCTCTCTTGCGACGTTGTCACGATGTACTCAGGAATCACGCTCTCGCCTAGGACTGCCTCGCAATCTGCGAGACAGTCGCGATGGAATGTCCCGCCCGCCCGACCCGCCCAACAAGGCCCACCCGCCCGACCTGCCCATCACGGGCCCGCCCGGGGCCCGCCCGACCCGCCCGCTAGCGTCTACCGTCCGACCCGCTCGTTGGGGTTCGCCCGCCCGTGGGCGCCTCGCGGGCGCTTGTGCGCTGGGCTGGTGGTTTCGAGCTTTCCGCCTGGTCGCCGCCAGCAAGCGCCTCGTGAGCGCCTCGTGCCCGCCTTCAATGGAAGAGTTCGACTCTACCCGCCCACCGAGGCCGTGCTCATCCGCTGCATTCCTCGTGCTCTGCTGCTTGTTGTTTGCTGCTGTTTTGTGTGTGTATGTGTGTACAGGCGCGCGTGAGGCTGCGTGTACTCGACTGTCTACGCCCCGTCGTCGCGCGCGGGGCCGCGACGCCAAAAAGTCTGTGTTGCGTGTTTTGCTTGTTTGTTTTTTGGTCTACATATTTCTCAACTGGCATCTTCTGGTAGATGCCGTCCATTTGCCCGCCCTCGTCCTAGCCCGCTGTCAGCACCCTCTCGGACTCGCTGCTCTGCTGTCTGGCCCCGTTCTTGCGGTGCCCCCCTGCTCCTCATCCGCCTCCCTCCTCCTTCTACATCGTTTGGTTTTGAAAACTGATCCGCCTCCGCGCGTTTCTTGCCTCGACTGCTGTGCTCCTTCACAAGAAACGTGGTTTGGGCTCAACCGCGCGTAGGTGAGAACCGTGTATGCGTGTGTCTGAGTGTATAGTTGTTGTTTCAGCTGTCACTGCACAGTCGTCGTTCCTGCTTAAATTCAAAGAAGCCCAGTGCAGCTGCCCGAATCGTCCCCGCCAAACAGTGCTACGCGGAGCACGCGCGCCGATTTGGGAAGTTAGCTTCGTGAGAACTCCTCGCAACCAAATATGACGCGGGCCACACGCGCTAGCCCCCCCCCCCGCTCGCGCGCGCATGCCAGCATCATCCAACCACATGTTAGACCTAGAGCACACACACAAGCACACACGCACACACACACACACACGCACACACACTACCACACACACACGCAAACACACAAACACACAGACACACCCATACATTCACACTCAAACTCACACTCGCACTCACAGTACCAATCACACAATCACACACTCACACACTCACACGCACAAACACACCCACAAACAAGCTCACACACACACACGCACACGCACACGCACACGCACGCGCACGCGCAAACGCACACACCACACACAAACACACAAACACACACACACACACCACACACACCACACTCCACACACTCACACTCACAAACACAAACACAAAGACACACACACACACGCACACACGCACACACGCACTACCACACGCACACACTACCACACACTCAGACCCACACACACACACTCACACCCACACTACCTCTCACACCCACACTACCACTCACACTCACATACTCACACACTCACACACTCACACACACACGCACACGCACACGCACACACACCACACACCACACCACGCACACCAACACCACACAAAAACATTCATACTACACACACACCGCACACCGCACACACCACACACACCATACACACCACACACACACCACACACACACACCACACACAAACACAAACACAAACACGCACACACACTCACACACACACACTCACACAATCACAACCACAAACACACACATAAACACGTGTACACTCACAACCCACACACACCACCACACAAATACATACACACACACTCACACTCACACTACCACCCATACTCACACACTCACACACTCAAACACTCACACACTCACGCAAACTCACACACTCACACACTCATACACACATGCACACACACACGCACTACCACACGCACACGCACATGCAAACGCACACACACCACACACACCACACCACGCACACCAACACCACGCACAAACACACACACCACACACACCACACACACACACCACACACACCGCACACACACCACACACACCACGCACACACTCACACTCACACTCACAAACACAACCACACACACGCATAAACACACGCACACACGCACACACGACCACACGCACACACTACCACACACACAGACCCCCCCACACACACACACACACACACACTCACACTCACACTCACACTCGCACTCGCACCCACCCTACGACTCACACTCACACACTCACACACTCACCCACAAACACACTCACACTCAAACACACACGCACACGCACACGCACATGCACACGCATATAACCGCACACACACCACACACACCACACCACGCACACCACCACCACACACAGACACACACACACCACGCACACACCACACACACACACCACACGCACCACACACACACCAACACCACACACACCACACACACAAACACAACCATACTGTACACACAATCACACACACACCCGCTCACGAAAACACAACCACAACCACAAACACCAGCGCAAACACACGCACACATACACACACACGCACACACACACTACGACACACACACTACCACACACATAGACACACACACACTCACACTCACACTCACACTCACACTACCACTCACACTCACACACTCACACACTCACACACTCACACGCTCACACACTCACACACTCATACACACACACACACGCACACGCACACGCACACACACACACCTATCACACAAAACAACCACACTCCCACGCACACACCAACCACACACACACACCGACCACCCACACACACACCCACGCACACACACAACATACAACACACAACGCACAACACACAACAAACAACACACAACTCACACAACCACAAACTACAAACAACACACACACCACACACACCACACACAACGCGCACAACACTCACAAACACGAACACACACACATAAACACACGCACACACGCACCGCACAACACACAGCACAGAACACACAAAACAAACACACGCACCGCACACCACAAACACGCACACAACACACAGAACACACACCGAACAACACATACAATACACACAACACACAACACACAACGCACACAATACGCAACACACACCACACACACCACACACCACACACAACACACAACACATACACAACACACAATACACACAACACACAACACACACCACACAACACACACACCACCCACAACCAACACACCACACAACACGCACACACACCACACACAACACACACACACACCACACACACCACACGCAACACGCAACACACGAAACACACGAACCACACATAACACGCAACAAACAACACACACACAACGCACACAACACACCCACACCACAGACAACACACACACACACCACACACACCACACACCGCACTCAACACACAACACACACAGCACACAACGCACACAACCCACAACACACACACACGCACACCACGCAACACACACACACCCCGCAGAGCACAAAACACACACAACACAGAACACACAACACACACAACAGACACAGCACACACCACACACACCACACACACAATACACAACACACAACACATTCGAACACACACACACAAACATACACAAACACACAACACAAACAACCACACACACAAACACGCACACACAAACACCCACAACCACACACAAACATACACACAACTACACATAACACAAACAACACACACAACACACGACACACACACACCACACACAACACACAACACACACCACACACACCACCCACCACACACACACAACACACAACACACACACACCACATTCAAACACACACAAACACACACAAACGCACACACAGAAACACACACAAGCACCCACACACAAACACACACACACAGAGAAACACACAGCACACACACGCACTCACACGCACACACCCACACATCCACGCACACACGCACACCCACACACACACCAACACACACACCAACACACACACAACCACACACAAACACACACACACCGACACACACCACACCAACACACACACACCAACACACACCAACACACGCACACCAACACACAACACACACACCAACACGCACACCAACACACACACACACCGCAACACACCAACACACACACACCAACACACACACACCAACACACACACACACACCAGCACACACACCAACACACACACCAACACACACAAACACCGACACACACCACACAACACCACACACACCAACACCCACACCAACACACGCACACACCAACACACACAAACAAACACATACACAAACACGCACCAACACACGCAAACCAACACACACAGCACCACACATACACCAACAAACACACTAACACACACCAACACACATACACCAGCACACACACACCACCACACACACCACCACGCAGTCACACCAACACTCACACACACCCTAACACATACACACGCCAACATATACGCCAACACACACTCCAGCACACACACACCAACACACACACACCAACACGCACCACACCAACACATACACACACCAACACCCACACACACACGGACGCACACACGCACACACTCACGCACGCACGCACGCACGCACGCACGCACGCAGGCCCGCCCGCCCGCCCGCACGCACGCACGGCACGCCCGCCCGCCT